GTAATTAGGGGGCGGAGCAACAGAAACAGGGCATTTTCTCTGCAGCCGTACATCTCATCAAGCTCAAACTTGGCATGCAGCATCCTCTCGCCAGACTACAAGTGTCGATTTAAGGACGTTTGGTTACATCGGAATTTGTGGTCGCCATCGGCCAATAAGCATTCAGCAGGCCTTTTGACAGGCTTAACATTGACCAATCATGACGAAACTTGAGTGATGTCTATATGTAGCCAATTTCTAACAAACAGTCGAGTTTCAAAAGATTTGACCACTGGGGGGCGCTATTTCAAAAATTTACATATTATTACATGTTATTACAATATTATTACAATTTTCACCAAGACCCTATTGTATTACTGGGGGCCAAACAATTTTGCCAATACATGTTTATTAAAATCTGTATCGTTTTTTTGTAATCAATAAATGTTTGAAAAACCTACTTTTCAAACTAGTCTCTGGATTTGGATCCAATCTTGTCAAAATTGGTCTAGAACAATTCTGTGGCATCTCTAGGTAAATAATTATCAAAAACATTTTGACTTTTCTACTCAGGGTCATGTGGATTAATCACTAAATTCCTGCATACATGGCATTGTTAGCTTGGTTAGCTATAACTCATCAGTCATTGGTCAGATCATGTTCAAACTTTGAGTATTTATACAAATTGAGATTCTAATGGAGTATGCCACGTTTGGTCCAGATTGGCCTTTGGGGGTGCTTCAGCACTCAAAAACACTGAAAAATCAATAAAAATGCTATTACAATGTTATTACAAGGTCCACATATAAACAATTGGTGCCATGTGACTCAGTCCACTAAGATGAACAACTTTCTAATTACATGTTATGTCAAAAATTGCACTGCTTGTCTTTTATTTTGACTTATTCATTCAAAGATTTCACTATACAAAGACTTACTATACAAAGGCTTGAGGCCTGTTTAGGCCTAATATAATAAAAGGCTTGAGGCCTTTTTAGGCCTAATGGCCTAAACCTGCAGAAGGGCCCGTACTGCTGTTGCGTGCTTGAACCCGCTCATTGCCGCTCGCGGCTATGTTTATTATTATCATTATTATTAGTAGTAGTAGTAGTAATAGTAGTATGATTATTATTGTTAAATGTTATATTTATTATATACTATATTATATATAGTGGTAGTAGGTTTTTCTAGAATTGTGAATAAATATTGACTTACAGTACATGTGCTTAAATTAATGTTGATATTATGTAGTTAAAATTCATATGTGAAAAAATATAGGAAACCTATAGCTTTTCGTGTTTTTAACTCACCTTCCTTGGAGAAGACCACCTGGCGCGTGGCCACCAAGTAATCCAAATTATGATCAAGAATAAGTGAAAACTCACCACTTTGCCAGAACATCAGTGATTAATCCAGTAGTTTAACAAGAACATTTCTCAATGAGCAATTGTAAAGATTTTAGATATCTGACCCTCTACAAAATAACATCACCCTCCAAGTCTGTGCTCTTCACAGTGTCTCAGTCTGGGGTCTTCACAGTGTCTCAGTCTGGGGTCTTCACGGTGTCTCAGTCTGGGGTCTTCATGGTGTCTCAGTCTGGGGTCTTCACGGTGTCTCAGTCTGGGGTCTTCACAGTGTCTCAGTCTGGGGTCTTCACAGTGTCTGTGAAAGCTAGATGTGTGGTCTGTGTCAACAACACTATAGGTGAGTTGCTTAATGTTGGACAAAGTACACAAACCCTGTTCTTCAGTGAAACTAGAGATAGTCTGCTTAAAATATTACTCCACTAAAAACGGAGGTACTCTGTTTATGTTTAAGTTTAAAGTCAGTGCCTTGAATGATCAGATATCATTAGCAGTTGAGATGCTCCGCCTCCTACCTGTGTCTCCTCCTCCTTTAGGAAGTTCTCTCTTTATCAGCCTCTGTTTCTGCTCTGCTCAGACAGAACTCTCTGCTCTGTGTCAGGATGAAGCTCCTCACTCTGCTCCTGCTGCTGGGTTTCACCTCACTGACCGAGTCTGAGGTCATACAGTCTTTTAACGGTCAGTGTCCTGATTTCTTCTTTCCAAGCCATCAAACATCAAAAAAAGTCATCACTCCGACTGTTTTCAAGGGAGCTCAGTATAAGCAGATTTGTCAGATCTTGGAAGAAGATGTAAGACCGTGTAGAAAGAAAAGCACCTACAGATACGCCACTCTCTACGACACAACGAGAAGGATCCCCGTCTACTCTGCATACACATTCTACACTAAAGTTCAATCTCCACAAGACTATCGCTGGATGGTCGAACCTCAGGTGAGTAAATGCAGCATTTTTTTGGTGAAAATATTTTTATCATAATTTTTTAATAAAACAAAAAGCAACACAACAGAACATAACAGACATACACAGAGATGCACAAATAAGTAAAATACATTAAAACTAAACAAGGTTCTGTAGCAGACTTTTTCTGACCAAGTCAACTGCTGCAGACCACAGTCTCAGCCTGCACTCAACTCAATCAGGCAGAACAAAAACATCCATAAAATAGAGCAAGAATGTAGAAGTGCACACCTGGTTGTGCATGAAATTTCAACATTGCTTTCTTCACAGCTGTCAAAGAAGTCATTGCTATTTTCCTTTGAGTTTCAAAATAAGTACTGAATCATCTCTGAGCAGAAACAAAGCTGGGTGTAAAGGAAGATCTACTTGTAAAAGAAAAGAAAGCATGGAAGCTGTTATTTCCCATAGATGTTTCAATGGCTGTCAGAAAACACAATTAAATGTTCTGAAAGCATCTAAAGAGCATTTAGACCAAAGTTCATTAGTGGATGGTTTCATTTGGAATGCATGGTGAGGCATCAACTCTATGTGAAAAGCCCATAAACTGCTCATTTAGGCTCATGTGACAGTTCTCTACTGGTGTTACTTAGACCATTTGAGGTACATTCAGTGTCATTAAGCGTCTGTGGGAGATCAACACTTTTTTCAGTCAGTTTCATCTGTTCTGCACTGTTCGACTCTGTTCAGGAGTTGCTACAAGGATCCATTTGAATAATTCTGAAATTATACAAATATGCATTGAGACTCTTCTGATGATGTATTAGTTTGTGAAAATTTGGCATGCAGCATTTTTTATTCCTTCGTAACCTACTTTTTAAAAATGCTCAAATACCCAAAGTTCTCCAAGGGTAACATAAGGTGCACTAACTGCCTGTTTCAATGCCATTTCATACGCAACCACTGATACTTCATCACATTACTCTGCTAACTGGACAGTAAGCATGCTAAAGGCTACACAGCTAAAAACAGCTAAAATAAAGCTAAAACACCAATGTTAACCATCAACACTGACAAAACAATTACTCACAAATCTTTGTGCGTTATGTTAAAACATTTCCCAGAAATAGCAGAGGGCAAGTGTGTTCTGTCTGAATAAGCTGTTCCTCATTGATCCCACTTTTATTTTACTGTGAGTGACCATTTATGTAACATAGGTGTGATGCACTACAGAGTGGTAAGTGTATGTGAAGACATATGGGCAAAATTAAACACACCTCATTATTCAGTAATTTAAAAACAATAACTTTAAATCTGATGTGTGTTGTTATATGAGGATGGATTAGTCTGACTATAAAAGCTGAGAATCAGACAACTGTTTTATGCCATTAAAAAAATAAAACTGTAGAACTGAAAAAGGTCATAGGCTTTTCTTCTTTCTGTAACTAAAGTCATGAACAGAGAGCTGAACTACAAACAGGATTCCTGGGAGAGAAATGAAGTTTATTCAGGGTGAACAGGGGCTCCAGTGAGGCTCAGAATCGCTCTAATGTTTCTATGCTTTACTTTTGCTTTCTCTTCTTTATAACAGCTTGATGAGAAATGGAATTAAAAAAATAGAGGGATGAGGGTTGCAAAGGCGACGGAGAAGTTTGAAAAACAGGCTCTGGTAGAAGATTATTCTCAAAACCTTCATCAAAACATCACTAAAGGCCATTTGTTTCCAAAGAGTTACGCTGCTGATGAGAAGCAGGTAGAGTCCACCTTTACGCTTACCAACGCAGCACCACAAGCAAAAGAGAGCAACACAAAGTGGGCAAAGCAGGTGGAGGAACCGATGCTCAAATATATACAGAAAAACTGCAAGCTAAATGAAAACAACCCAGCTTACATCATGATTGGAGTCGTTCCAGGAGAGACATGGCTGCCAATAAAAAGAGAGAACAGAGACATTAAACAGGGAGTTAACATTCCCAGTCACTACTGGACTGCTTTCACTTGTGTTAATGATACGGGACGAATTTATCGAGCCTACATCGCTCAGCAAGTATACCCCCTAAAGAATGGTAGCTACACTGAATTTAAAAATCAGAGTATGACTGTTGATGAGCTGGAAAATGAGCTCACTAAGCTGTATAAGGAGTCTCTGCAGAAAGACCAGCGGTTCAGCGTGTTCAAGAACACAAGATCTTAATCTCAAAGTCTTAATCTTCACTTATAATGTTTGTGCTACTAAACGCTGCACTAGCTCCTTTTACACATTTTATTTAGCAGAACAGCAATGTTTATATATATATATATAGTGAAGTTAGAGGTGGATGGACCTCTGGATGTCATTGGCCATTGTTTGTAAGGTGTACCAGTCAGGATGTTCAGAAGAGTGAAGATGGTGAGATATTAATGATTTAAACTCTGTGTGATGGACGTGTTTAGAGGACATGTAACTGTTGTATGTTTCTGTATTTCTGTAATCAGAATGTCTTTCAGATGAATGAATTCTCTTGCTGAGCTTCATTAAAAGCTGTTTGCTGTCAAACTGGATGATTATCTCTGTTTCTTAGAGTCACACATAACTACAGTCTAAAACACTCTCACCCGGTCCTGGAGGCTCCTGGAGGCCCACTGCTCTGCCCTTTTTAGTGTTTTCCCTGCTTCCAACACACCTGATCCAGCTAATCAGCTAATTTGAAAGTCCTTACTCAGCATGCTGAAGAAATGAAAACACTAAAATGTGCGGGACAGTGGGCGTCCAGGACCGAGGTCAAGAAACACTGCTCTGAACGATGTCGGCCCAATGAGGAGCCCCTGAGGTGACAACAATTATTCTTTAATAAGACACAAATTAACATGTCGAAGCCACAGTTTAATATATTGAGGCCAGATGTTAAGTTTCTTGTGGATTTGTGGCCTCAATATATTAATCACTGACCGTGTCCTATTAAAAATAATCACCATGTTACTTTAGGGGCTCAGAAGTATAGTGATAAAAAAACAATATAATATAGAATATAGTGGATAAGAAGAGGTCAACTGTGTGACCATGCTCAGGAGCAGGGTCATTAACTGACCAGACTAAAATATCAATACACTGAGTGAACTCTCTGATCATACACTGTCAGAATAAAGGTACTGAACACCAAGATACACACAGTGTAACAAAGGTCTTAAGGTTCATCTGTGTAGCTTAACATCGTTTCAACATTCAGTGTCTCAGAGAAAAGCTGCAAATTTGTTCAATGTTTAAAATATTTCAAAAGATAAAACAAAACACTTTCAGTCATTGTTTTTGTTTATTGCTGCACACATTCCCCCAGATAATGTATGTTTCTGAAATTTAAGCTGTATTATGACCTGTGACCACTCCTTAGTGCAGCAAGCCTTTGTTACATAATTGGTCACTCACTCTTAATGAACCTCTAGAATCTCTAACTGCCCCTCCTGTCCAGGTTGATGCTAGGGCTAGATCTACCTGGATCAGGTGTTCCTGTTCACCAGCCCAGACCAGTTTGACCTGCATAGATCCTCTGATGAATCACTGATTACCCACTCATCCTCCTGATGGGACCCCATTGAGTTTGTTCAGTGTGTAAAGCTGAGAAGATCAGGTGGTGTTTTCTTACCACTGGTGGTCAGTCCTGACTGAAACACATCAGGGACGCAAAGTAGAAGCTTCTGAGGTTCAGAGATAAAGAGCTATTAAAGAGAAGAAAAATTATTCAGAGGCTTAGAGGTGTGTGTGTGTGTGTGTGTGTGTGTGTCTGTGTGTGAGTGCGTGTGTGAATGTGTATGTGTTTCTGTGTGAGTGTGTGTGTGTCTGTGTGTGTGTCTGTGTGTGAGTGTGTGTGTTTGAGTGTCTGTGTGTGTCTGTGTGAGTGCGTGTGTGTGTTTGAGTGTGTCTGTGTGTGTGTTTTGAGTGTGTGTGTGTGTGTGTGTCTGTGTGTGAGTGTGTCTGTGTGTGTGTGTGTCTGTGAGTGTGAGTGTGTGAGTGTCTGTGTGTGAGTGTGTGTGAGTGTGTGTGTGTGTGTGTCTGTGTGTGTGTATCTGTGTGAGTGTGTGTGTGTCTGTGTGTGTGTGAGTGTGTGTGTGTGAGTGTGTGTGTGTGTGTGTGTGTGTCTGTGTGTGAGTGTGAGTGTGTGTGTGTGTCTGTGTCTGTGTGTGAGTGTGTGTGTGTCTGTGTGTGAGTGTGTGTGTGTGTGTCTTTGTGTGAGTGTGTGTGTGTCTGTGTGTGTGTGTGAGTGTGTGTCTGTGTGTGAGTGTGTGTGTGTGTCTGTGTCTGTGTGTGTGTGTGTGTGTGAGTGTGTCTGTGTGTGAGTGTGTGTGTGTCTGTGTGTGTGTGTGAGTGTGTGTCTGTGTCTGTGTGTGTGTGTGTGTGTGTGTGTCTGTGTCTGTGTGTGAGTGTGTGTGTGTGTGTGTGTGTGTGTGTGTCTGTGTCTGTGTGTGAGTGTGTGTGTGAGTGTGTGTCTGTGTCTGTGTGTGTGTGTGTGTGTGTGTGTGTCTGTGTCTGTGTGTGTGTGTGAGTGTGTGTCTGTGTCTGTGTGTGTGTGTGTCTGTGTGTGAGTGTGAGTGTGTGTCTGTGTCTGTGTGTGTGTGTGTCTGTGTGTGAGTGTGAGTGTGTGTGTGTGTCTGTGTGTGAGTGTGTGTGTGAGTGTGTGTCTGTGTCTGTGTGTGTGTGTGTGTGTGTGAGTGTGTGTCTGTGTCTGTGAGTGTGTGTGTCTGTGTGTGAGTGTGAGTGTGTGTCTGTGTGTGAGTGTGAGTGTGTGTGTGAGTGTGTGTGTGTGTGTGTTTCTGTGTGTGTGTGTGTCTGTGTGTGAGTGTGTGTGTGTGTCTGTGTCTGTGAGTGAGTGTGTGTGTGAGTGTGTGTCTGTGTCTGTGTGTGTGTGTGTGAGTGTGTGTGTGTGTGTGTCTGTGTGTGTGTGTGTGTGTGTGTGTGTGTGAGTGTGTGTCTGTGTCTGTGAGTGTGTGTGTCTGTGTGTGAGTGTGAGTGTGTGTGTGTGTCTGTGTGTGAGTGTGAGTGTGTGTGTGTGTGTGTGTGTGTGTGTGAGTGTGTGTGTGTGTGTGTGTGTGTGTGAGTGTGTGTCTGTGTCTGTGAGTGTGTGTGTCTGTGTGTGAGTGTGAGTGTGTGTGTGTGTCTGTGTCTGTGAGTGAGTGTGTGTGTGAGTGTGTGTCTGTGTCTGTGTGTGTGTGTGAGTGTGTGTGTGTGTGTGTCTGTGTGTGTGTGTGTGTGTGTGTGTGAGTGTGTGTCTGTGTCTGTGAGTGTGTGTGTCTGTGTGTGAGTGTGAGTGTGTGTGTGTGTCTGTGTGTGAGTGTGTGTGTGTGTCTGTGTGTGAGTGTGAGTGTGTGTGTGAGTGTGTGTGTGTGTGTGTGACCACAGGGTAGCTTCAGACTCTGAAGAAGTGCTCCAGAGCTTCTCAAACGCTAAAGCACAGTAGCCTGTACAAGGACCTGGGGTCTGGCTTCTCACATCCCCAATGAAACAGTTAAGCACTATATTCTCTGTGATCCACCAGCTCATGAAATCAGCAGAGACGTATGAGGTCTGAGAGGATCAGGTGGAATATGGAATAGAATGGTATATTATATGTTAATAATTTCTCCTATATAAACTTCACTGATGTAGCTGCATCTCCTGTAATAACTGTGTTTTGAACACTTACTCTCTGTTCTTGAACAATTCAATCTTCCTTAAAGGAGTACAGTATGAATTGAATTCGGAACCAATTGGGGGTTAGGTGCCTTGCTCAGGAGCACTTCAGTCATGGACTGGCAGCTCTGGGGATTGAACCAGCAACCTTCCAGTCACAGGGCTGGTTCCCTAACCTCCAGCCCACGACTACTTGATACAAGTATAGTATAAAGATAAGTATAGTATATAGGTATAGTATAAAGATTTGCATAATTTGTTTTTTAAAACTAAAGTGTAAAACAACACATATTTCCTTAACAATCACTGCTATAAATCCCTGAATGTGGTCCACACATTGCATGTAGTTCACACAAAGAGACCAATGCAAACAGTATATAAATGAGCTTAGAACAGTCACAGAGCTCCTAGTGGCAGGCTGGTAAAATGCTGATTAAATTAACAACAACAACAACAAAAACTGTACTTCCACATCTTCCTGCACAAGAGACCCCCTAGCTGCTGCAGCTAGTATAAACTAGAAAAGAGTTCAGTATATATGTATACGTTTCTTCACGTGGGGTTCACAGTATGATTGAACTAAAACGTAATTTGTAAATACTTGTAATTATAATTTTTTCAAATGACAGTATACTTTTATTGAGATTTGTTTGGATTTTTAACCTACTTTTTTTAGTTTTTGAGAGTTAGGGTGTATATAATTATTTCATGGTTGTTAATTTTTGTTCAAAATGGTCTCCTATTATTTGCCTGTTCCTAAGAAAAATCCAGTATTTTAATTTAACTGGCAGCATGCTGTCATCCCACCAGGCCACCAGGTGACTGTATGTCCAAAGGTCAGCTTTATCCAGATTGTTTATTTTCTTATTCATTAGATGAAGTAAGAAAGTGTCTAAATGCTGTTGGTACTCCATCTCCCAGTTTGGTACTCTTTTCCCCTTAACCTAATAAAAAAATGGGTTAAATGTAAAAGTCAGAGAAAGTCTGCACAGTCGACTTTGAAAATGAAAGACAAACCTCCCCCACCTGGCCCACTAATGGTCTATGCTGTAATTTCAGGCATTGCACAGATAAGGCCACATCTCCTTGACTTGGGTTCATTTTTAATCTCAGTGAACATATTACCCAGATATTTTTGTATGTAATGCTATTACTTGAGGGTGAGCCTGACCACTTAATTCCAGCAACATTAGAGGTCCTTTTTAAGAGGAAGGATGTTGGTCATTCTTTTTTTGTATGATGGCCCAAGTGTCACAGGATTAAGTCCAGCTGTAATCCAGGTGTTGTTCAATGGGGACCCTGAAATAGCAACAGTTACAGAAGCCTGTCCTGATTTGCTCATCACGAGCATCATAAAAATACTGTCTGAAATTGCCTTGTTTCAGTATAAACATTTTGACTTTGTTATGTTTAGGCCAGATAATTGGCAAAGAACTGAGTACAGAGTACTTTATTCAAAATAGGGGTGGGGGCTTCCATGTTTGTTAGAGGATTTTTATGCAGCCCATCTGAGGCCTCTCATATGTTGGTGCAATCCTGCTTATTTTGCTATGTGGAAGGGGTTGGAGCTGGCAGTGACTGACAGGATCCCACTTCAAGCAATTGTTTCTGATGAAACATTAGCCAATCACCTCTTGGACAGAACAAATCTGTTCAGTTACATGTCTCTGAAGACTTGGAAGGAAACCTCACATACCTTGCAAATTACAGAGACTAGCAAAACTTTTAAAAGGCCTTGCACAGCTTTTTTATATATCTGTGAAAAAGAAATATTTCAGGAAACAATTTCACATTTCGGTTGCCTTCCAATTTTCTTCCCAAAAACAACATTCCTTTTTAATGTTTTATATTTTCTTACCATTCTGCCTTGTGGGTGTGTCTGATTGCAGCCTCTGTGATAAACACAACTGCCTGGATGGGCAGGCATAGTAACTGCTGCACCATTTAAGGTGGAACAGGAAAATTTGAACAAGAAGCTGGTGAATTAGAAGCGAAATTCAGCTTCATGTTAACAATATACGTAGTTTAAATGGGAAAACCTTTTGTTCGCTGGCTAACAAATAGAAATCTGTCCGTAAACAGTACTACTGAGAAGCTGTTATTAGACTGTGGTTTTGAGGTTCAGGGCAGGTTCTTGTTAAACTCCCTTTTCAGGTTTGTAAAACAGTATAGATGCCATTTCTGACAGTTCTGGGCCAATTCTGGCTTACATCCACAAATGTTCGTTGACTTCTGGATAGATATTGCCAGATGCTGTACAGCTGTGTTTGGTTTTGACTCATATCTACATTGAAGGGCAACAATGTGGATGAAGGAAGGGGCCACAGCACAAATATGCTGCAGCAGGTGTGTCTCTGTACTTTTGGCCGAAGCATGTCATGTCTTAAGTGGCCCACTACTGAAGATACATAAAGCAGTTGATGCTTATTGTTTTAATGTGATTGATTAGCAGACCTTTTAAATGTACAGGCCAGCAACTAGCTTTAAATAGTAAATAAATTGGAGAGAGCATTAATAAAAAACACTTGAACATGCATGTTTATGTACTTTATTTGTGATGTGTAATTTTTGTTTAATGAGACTATCTTAAGTTATAAGGCCCAGGTATGTAAACTTGCATAACACTTGAAAAACACAGGCTACCTAACAAACTGGCTATTAGCTCAAGGTTAATTACATAACCCTATTTATATATGTTCTTCGTGACTATGTTAACTTATTCCCTCAACCCTGTTTCCAAAATTATTTATTTATTTATTTTTTTTTTTTATTTGCCCATTTTGGTTCCAAACAATTCGAGACGGGGCCTGTTTGCCACCGTGTTTCATCACCTTTTCATTTACCCACGTAAGGGTTTGGGAACTGAGGAGACTCTGCTGTAGTTCTGAAAGTGAAATGTTTTCCTGTTCTTGTTTGATACAGGAGTTCAGGGCTCTTTTCATACAGATCAATGCTGCTGTAATACATGCAGAATGTGGTTTGACAATGTCTTGCTGAAATAATCAACCCCTCCTCATCTTTACTTCTGAAAGACTCCGCCTCTCTGAGATGCTCTTTATACCCAGTCATGTTACTGACCTGTTGCTGATCAACCACCAGGTGTGTGGGTTATTTTTTTATTTTATTTATTTATTTTTTTTAGCATGACACAGCTTTACCAGCCTTTCGTTGCGCCTCCCAACTTTTTTTGTAATGTGTTGTTGGCATCAAATTCAAAATGGCATTTTTTTCAAAAAAACAATTTCTCAGTTTTAACATTTTCATATGTTGTCTTTGTTGTATTTTCAATGAAATATAGGGTTTAAATGATTTGCATTATTTACATTTTGTTTTTATTTACATTTTGCACAGCATTCCCAACATTTTTGGAAATGAGGTTGTACATTAACATAATGCTGTTCTTTGCTCATTTGGGCCAGTTTTTAGCTAGCATTTTGAATCCCTTTTCCCATATCTAGATACACTTATGTTGTGACCCCATGTGTTTCTAGCACAGGAAGAGAGTGCACAGCGCTGCTACTCTCCTCCATCTTGGATTTTCACTCGTCTTCTGCCTGCACATTTCTATTGGTTGACGTGCCTCCACGTCAGAATGCGTTGCAGCAAAAGTTGAAATGGTTTGAACTTTTTCGATGCTCAATAATGTCTTTTCGCTGCATACAGACACATTTCTAGCCCAGCATTTGAAAGCTGTGTTTCTGATGCTGTGTCAGCCTCTAGTGTGTAGGCACCCTTACACCCAAGACTCAGTCCGTTTATTGCTGCTTGTACAGACAGGTTATGATACAACTTCACCTGTACATACTTACACAAATAAAAACCTGCTTGCCATTTTATCGTATTTATATAAGTAGCACATTGACACTTTCATATTAATGTGAAGAATTTTAATCTAGAGCATAAACATGTTCATTGTGATATACTTTATGTGCTGCATTGTCTTTGTTCAAGAGGCATCCATCCAAACAATCTTTGCAATTGCAAAGATTGCCTTTTTGTGCGTGTTTGGAAACGTGAGCTGTATTCTATAGTCAGTCAGTCAGTTTAGAGCACAAATTTTTCCAACAAATAACCCCCATGGTTGCTCCCAGCACCTGAGGTCCTTGAGTCTTTCTTCCTCAACCGTCTCAACCCAATGGAGTAAGGGGGGCTGCTACTCAACATACAGAGTGGACCGGCTACAAAAGCAGGTACAGCTTTGTTTACACTAGGCTAAAGGATGTCTATCAGACCACATCCCCAAAAGGAAAACTAGCTGCTCCCTTTTCTTTTTAACTTGACCTCACCCACTTCGACTCACCATTGAGATGTGCGCCACTTCTGCGTCATACAACTGTCCACTCAGTGCAGGAGTAGAGGAGGAGTCAGTGAAGATATTTTCATTCAATGTTGCACTTAAGATTAAATCATTACATAAACACTAACAATCACTGCATAAGGATGACCGTCACTCTAATGCCACACTAATTTCACAATAATGTTCTAAGAACAGAACCAAAAACATTGTGGACTAAATGCTTGTCATATTTAGCTGTTCAGCAGGGTTTAAACAGCTGTTCTGTACACTTAACAACACAGTATAAGACTACATGAAACCAGAAGTTCAGTTCAAACAGAACAAATTACAAACCTCTTCAGTTGAAATATAAATGTTCTAGATGCTCTTAAATTCAGTAGATAGTTTCACTTCATTTGGACGGTTGAAATTCACATCTGCAAATGCTTACTTGAGAGGATAAACATTGTGTTCTCTATGGGCTGCACTGCCATGAGTAGTTTAGGGGTCTGGCCATACAAAGTGGCTAAACAAGATTGTTGTTGTTGTTGTTGTTGCTGTTTTCAATACAGTTGTGTTGTTTAGAGTAAATTGTGTACATGGAGGGCAGCTGCAGTCCAATTGATAATTAAAGGCAGTTTGAAATTGTACTTGCAGGCTACTGAAAACCTGTAGGTGGCTAGTAAGGTGAGTTTATTTATAAAGCACAGTTCATATGGCAATTCAATGTTTTTTGCTTTACAAAGTTCAAGTTAAAAGTTCAAACGTCAAGTCTATTAATAAACATCATAGCATAAGAAAGTGTGTGAAATAAAATGTTTGTACAATCAAGTTTGTAAAATCAAACAAAAAAAAACACTTAAGAGTGAATAACAATAAAAAATAATGTAATAATAGCTTAACAATAAAAACAACTAATTAAAAGAAAGTACAGAGTATATTAAAGGGGAATGGGAAATAAAAAAAGAAATTATCAAAGGGCTTAATTGTTATTAAAATTAGCTTATTAACTGGAAGTCAGTGTAGAGATTTTAGAGCTGCAGTAATGAGCTGTTGCCAAGCACAAATTTTGCCTTATCCAGTTTTTTACCTGCTTCAAACATTGACATAGTGGGTCTACTGGGCTGTAATCATCTGGTGAGCTAGATATATCTGTGTATCATTTTCATAACTATGGTAATTAGTGTTGCTGTTCTGTAGAATTTGGCCCCAAGGCAGCATATAGAGGTTGAACAGAAGAGGTCCGAGAACTGAACCCTGAGGGACTCATGTCTCGTCAGATTCATAACAGGTGACAAAGGTGACTCCAGCCTTCTAAATAACACCTTAATCATTTTTGGACTTCCAGAAAGTCCTACCCAATTTTCCAACCTGCCCAGCAGTGTTCTGTGATGTACAGTGTCGAATCCAGCAGATCTAATAGAACCACAAGACATTTTACCTGTCTGTATTCAGCCATATATCATTTACCACATTTATAAGAGCTGTTTCAGTGCTATGGTGAGGTCAGAAGCCTGATTGAAATGTCACAATAACCATTTAGGTTCAAAAATTGCTAAGCTGACTGAAAACAGCCGTGTCAATTATCTATAAAAGGAAGATTTGATTCAGGTCTATAGTTGTTTAGTACAGAAGCATCCAGAGTTCTCTAATGGGACTTTTTTTAATTAGAAGAAGGTGCTGATATTAAACACACATTGGAGACCGTTTCAGACGTCTCTACTGATTTTCTTTACTGTAGAAAACTCTTGTATAAAGCAGTAGAACACTGGAGGTGGAAGCTTCTGGTAAATTAAATCACAACTGATGATCTACCATTTACACAACCACTTTGTAATGAATAGTAATTTTGGAGCTGAAATGTATTGCACTATGTCTTTGGTCCATGTCTTTTTTGGGATGTAAACACACCCAAAACTCTAAAACACAAAAGAGAAACCAAATATAAACAGGATCCAGAAACACTGCCACCTTCTCTGGGCCTGAGCTCATTTAAAATGGACTGAGGTGAAGTGGAAAAGTGTCCTGTGGTCTGACGAATCAACATTTGAAATTCTTTTTGGAAATCATGGACACTGTGTCCTCCGGGCTAAAGACCACTCAGCCTGTTATCAGTACACAGTTATACGGGTTACACAGGTATACGGGGGCGTTAGTGCTCATGGCATTGGTGACGTGCACATCTGTGAAGGCACCATTAAAATGTTTTGACAACATATGCTGCCGTCCAGACGACGTCTTTTTCAGGGAAGGCCTTGATTATTTCAGCAAGACAATGTCAAACCACTTTCTGCATGTATTACAGCAGCATTGCTCCATATTAAAAGAGTCTGGGGGTTAAACTGACCTGCCTGCAGTCCAGACCTGTCACCACTGAAAACATCTGGCACATTATGAAATGACAAATGAGACCCTGAACTGTTGAGCAGCTGAAATCCTTTATCAAACAAGAACAGGAAAACATTTCACTTTCTAAACTACAGCAGTGTCTCCTCAGTTCCCAAACGCTTACAGAGTGCTGTTTAAGGAAGAGGTGATGAAACACAGTGGTAAACAGGCCCCCGTCCCAACTTTTTTGGAATGTGTTGTTGCCATTAAATTCAAAATGGGCATGTAATTAACGATAAAATTTCAGTTTCAACTTTTGAAATGTATTTTTTTTTCTCCTTTACTCTGTAAACCCCTCCTTCTTCCAATACCATGACATCAAAGCCGGTGTTTTATTTCTCTCTCAGTGTGTGAGAACCTATAATGACTCATCAGTCAATCAATCCACTGGTCTTTATTTAAAGTGTGAGTACATTTGAAGGTGACTCATTTACAGAGTAGCTGCTAATCTTTATCACCGTCTTCATCTATCATCAATCATCTAGAACCAGCTTTTACTGCAGAACTCAACAGGCTTCTCTGTCTCTCTCTCTGTCTGTCTGTTCTCTCTCTCTCTCTCTCTGTTCTCTCTATTCTCTCTGTCTGTTCTCTCTCTCGCTGTCTGTCTCTCTATTCTCTGTCTGTCTGTCCTCTCTCTCTCTCTCTCTGTCTCTCTATTCTCTCTCTCTGTCTGTCTGTTCTCTCTCTCGCTGTCTGTCTCTCTATTCTCTGTCTGTCTGTTCTCTCTCTCGCTCTCTGTCCTTTCTCTCTCTCTCTATCTCTCTCTCTGTCTATCTCTCTCTCGCTCTCTGTCTGTCTCTGTAGAGGTTACACAGACTTGCTGAGGAGTTCTCATAAAGTCCAATCCCAGCGTAGAGCGGTTCAGTGAATGTGGTGGTGAGTGTGTGTAGGTGGGTCAGTGTGTGTGTATCAGGGGAGATGGTGTTGAAGGACAGAGTGCCGGACCCCCAGTCCAGATACACTCCTACTCTGTTAGAGGGGGAGGGGGGGGCGGGTAGGACAGTGCTCTGTTTATTGTGCCAGAAAGTGTATCTGTTATCAAAGCAGTACAGACTCCAGGACTGATTATTGTATCCAAAATCACAGTCCTTACTGACTCCTTTCCTCCTGATTCCTCTGTATGATACTGATATATCAGCTTTTCCGCTCCACTGAACCTCCCAGTAACAGCGTCCAGTCAGACTCTCCACACCCAGAACCTGAGTCCAGCGATTAAATCTATCTGGATGATCTGGATACGGCAGTTCCTCCCACACATACTCCACCTTTCTGTTCCTCTCAGACAGACAGAGACCTCTGTTCACTGTGTTTGGATCCAGAGTGAGATCAACAGCATCTGTACACACACACAGATTAGAACAGACACAAGCAGAGTTTAACAATGTATGTATATTATGTGGGCATTTTGTGTGTAAATGTGTATTGTGTGTATTGTATACAATGCATGTGGTGTGTGTGTGTGTATTGTACGTGTGTGTGTGTGTTGTGTGCATTTAGAATGTCTGTGTGTATGTAGGTGTGGTGTGTGTGGGTATTTATTATGTGTGTGTGTGTGTGTGTGTGTACTGAGTGTGTGTATTGTATGTATCTGTGTGACTGTATATGTGTGTAAATTATGTATGTGTTTATTGTGTGTGTGTGTGTGTGTGTGTGTGTGTGTGTGAGTGAGTGTGTGTGTCTGTGTGTGTCTGTGTGAGTGTGTTATGTGTATCGTATGTGGAGTGTGTATGTGTGTGTATTTAATGTATGTGTAGTCTAGTGTGCTGTGTAATGTATATGTATAGTATGTGTGTGCATGTATGTGTAGTATGTGTGTGAAATGTTTGTGTATTGTGTGTATATAGTGTGAGTGTGTTTGTTGTGTGTGTGCTGTGTATTGAGTTGTTATTATGTGTAGTGTGTATTGTTTATATTATGTGAGTGTGTGTCATTCACATGTGTCATTCATACAGTCTTCACTCTTATAGAGTGATGGTGGTGGCGGCGGTGGCGCAACACAGTTGCTCGGCTCTCTGCTTCTTCTTTTTTTTTAACTTGTTTAGTTTTCTTAGTTAGTCTGTATTTAAGTAACAAAACAGCAGCATTTAAAAAGCGTGACAGATCTGAGTTACGTTTGATGAGGGGTGGTCACTCAGTTTTCCCATTCAAAACTAGTTTCATTTCACTGGAGATTCTAATTATTGACATTATAGTTGGCAGAGAAAACAAGCGAGGGAAGCGAGCTGGGCCTTGTGCTAGGCTAAAAGCTAACCTGTACAGACCAGTACTTCCAAGTTTGTTCCTAGCCAACTCCAGGTCTCTCGTCAACAAGATGGATGAGGTCAGAATAAAAACAACTCATCCCTGTGTTACAATCATCATAGATATCTGGTTGCACTTAATGTTCCAGACGTAGCTTATCAAACTAGTCAGCTGCTCGGTTCACAGAACGGACAGGTCTAGAGACTCCGGGATAAGCAGAGGAGAAGGTCTGTGTGTTTATATGAATAAAAACTGTGCACAGCTGTGGACCTGATTGAAAAACACTGTTGTCCAGATCTGGAGTTTCTTTCTGTAAGATGCAGACCGTTCTTTCTTCCAAGGGAATTCACAACAGTAATAATGACAGCGGAATACAGGCCCCACAAGCTAATGCTAAATTAGCACTAGAAAAGCTACATGACAGCATTAACAACCAGCTAACTGCACACCCATATGGTATGATCAGGGTAGCAGGGGATTTTAATCATAGAGACTCTAAATCTAATTCCACAAAAATGTTCATTTCCCATTGAGAGAGAAAAACATCCCGGACCAAGTGTGTACAAACATTCCAGGAGCATTTTCAACTGCTCCAGCTGCACATCTAGGTCAGTCAGATCACGTATTTCCATAACTCTGACCCCAGTTTCAGACCACAAATCTGCAGAACAAAACCAGCTATCAGGACAGTACAGGTGTGGACTAAGGAAGCCACCTCAATGCTACAAGACTGTTTTGACTGAACAAACTGGAAACAGAGGGAACAGACCTGGAGGAGTATACTGGTTCAGTCCTAGGTTACATAAACTTCTGCATGGAAAATGTTCTCATAAAGGACAGTAAAAATGTTTCCAAATCAAAAGCTGCAGATAAATGCCAAGGTGAGGCCACTACTCCGGGAGCGAAATGCAGTATTCAGATCAGGTGACAAACAAGCCTACAGTGAAGCATGGGGGAAACTCAAGAGAGGCATTAGGGATGTGAAGCATATTGAGGATCACTTCAGTAACAACACCCCATGTAGCATGTGAAAAGGTTTTAAGGCACTCACTGACTACAGCACCACCACTATACTGGCTAGTGATGATGCCACACTGCCTGATATCCTGAACCAGTTCTTTGCCCGCTTGGACACGCAGAGTGAGGAGCCCACCCCACTGCTGGAGGGCCAGAACTGGTTCTGCAGCAGTATTCAGTGGGGGCCACATTGAAGAAGGTCCAGATCGAGTGCCTGGCCAAGTACTGAAAGCATGTGGCAACCAGCTAACAGAGGTGTTTACTGACATATTCAATCTCTTGCTACAACAAGCCATTGTTCCGACATGTCTTAAATCCCTTACCATCATCCCTGGTGCGCTCGCATATCAAAACCATCATCCCACCTGATCTGGATAAACACCAGTTTGCCTATCGGCTAAATCATTCCACGGAGGATGCTATTGCAACTGCATTACACATTGCTGTGACACACTTAGTAGTATCAAACAGTTCTGTGAAAATATTATTTGTGGAATTCATTTAACACAGTCATTGCCCAAAAACTGGTCAGAAAACTGGTGAAACTGGGCCTTGGATCTTCTGTGTGTTCATGGGTTATGGACTTCCTTATGGGCCGACCACAGCAAGCCAGAATTGGAAGCCACACCTCCTCTACCTTCATCCTAAACACAGGAAATCCACAAGGCTGTATGCTGAGCCCTATGCTTTTCAGTCTCTTCACACATGACTGTACTGCTATTCACATCTCCAATACCGTAATCAAATGATTTCAGATAAAGGAGTCTGCCTACGGGCATGAGTTAGAGAATCTGGTTAAATGGTGCATGGACAACAACCTGGTCCTTAACACCTAAAAACCAAGGAGATTGCCATAGACTTAAGGAGAACAAAGAGTTTAGATCACCTCTTCTCCACATACATGAAGAAGTGGAAAGCGTGAATTAACTAAAGTTGCTTGGAGTCTATGGAGTCTAAAGTTACTTGACCGTTAAAACAATGAAAACATAATTTCATTGTACCTGAGTATAATGTCAATAAAGACTTCTATTCTATTCTGTTCTATTCTATTCTATTCTCTGGATGTTCCAGCAAAACTCTTAACCAACTTCAGCTAGTCCAGAACGCTGCAGCCAGAGTTCTTACTAGAACCAGAGAGTTTGACCATATCAGCCCAGTTTGATCAACCTTACACTGGTTACCAGTTAAATTTCGGATTGATTATAAAATTCTCTTACTGACCTATAAAGTCCTAAACGGACTCGCCCCTCAGTACCTGAGTGAACTTCTCTCTCACTATGAACCATCACGCCTACTTAGATCACAAGGTGCTGTTCACTATTAGTACCCAGAATTAATACAGTTACGTCAGGGGGGAGAGCTTTCTCATACAAAGCCCCCCAGCTTTGGAATAGTCTTCCTGTTAATGTTCGGGACTCAGACTCAGCCTCAGTGTTTAAGTCTAGGCTAAAAACTTACTTGTTTAGTCAAGCCTTTGGCGACGCTCATGGGGGCTTGGACCCAGATTTTTTTCTTTTTGTGTGTGTGTGTGTGTGTGTGTGTGTGTGTGTGTGTGTGTGTGTTTGTGTGTGTGTATGTGTGTGTGTGTGTCTTACACTCCAGAAACTCTGGTCTGGTTTTGGGTTCAGGAGGGAGAATCATCTGGATCTTCTTCACTGTGAACATATTATTATATATAATTATATTATTATTTATAATATAATAATTAGTGTGTCTGTTATTATTAACTCTCTAAGCTCTGTGTTTGGTTGTAAAAACACCTTCAGTTCTTCCAGAAAAGTTTGAACTTTTGAAATTAGTTATTGATGCTGAACAAATTCCTTCAGATGCTTCTCTAAGCTGAGTGACCGAGTTTATTGCAGAGGTTTTACTGCACTTACTGACATTTTACTGCAGTTTCTGAGGTTCTACTGCAGTTACTGATGTTTTACTGTAGTTACTGAGGTTTTAATAGTAATTTTTTTGCTATGGCTTTTTTTTTAATCGCACTGATGTTCTACTGCGGTTACTCAGGTTTTCCTGCAGTTACTGTTTTGCTGCAGTTACTGTCGTTTTACTGCAGTTACTGACATTTTACTGCACTTACTGATGTTTTACTACAGTTACAGAGGTTGTACTGCAGTTAAGATTAAGTGACCCTTATTAGTCCCCACAATGGTCAATCTAACCCATCCGTGCAGTGAAACACCACATACACACTAGTGAAGACATGCACTAGGGGGCAGTGAGCACACTTGCCCAGACTGGTGGGCTCAAGGGCACTTCAGTCATGTACTGTCAGCTCAGGGGATCAAATCGATGACATTCCAGTCAGAAGGTTGGTTCCCTAACCTCCAGCCCACGACTGCATCAGTTACAGTTGTTCTATGGCACTTAATGATGTTTTACTGCAGTCACTGTCATTTTACTGCAGTTACTGAGGCTTTCCTGCCATAAAGCCCCATTGTAACCATGGCAGCGTTCTCTTATTGACAGAACCTACTGTCATTAGCTAAACTAGATAAGCACTGAAACTGAGCTGCTCTGAACTCAGGCGTGATGATCTGTTTCTCCTGCTGAGATTAAACATTAACAGTTTGGGTTCACTGACTGTACAGAGCGTCTCCCACTCAGTGGAGTCCCTCCACACTGAGACGTCAACATGAAGAGCATCTCCCACTGTGGACTGAAACTCCACTGGGAATCTTTAATAGACATGTTTTAATACCACCAGCATGATTAAACAGAAATAGTAGAATTGAGGTGTTTTAACCGGCTTCATGAGCTGTTAGGTCTGTTTGTAACACAGTTCTGACTGACAGCTCTGCATTTGTCTACCTCTGTATGTCATGTGCTCCAGCTCCCCCCCATGACCCAGAAGGATAATCGGCTTAGAAAACGCGCGCGTGTGTGTGTGTGTGTGTGTGTGTATGTATATATATCTCATGTAGAATCACTCTGTGGTTGTCTTGCATGTCAGTCAGTTCTTTTCCTGATAGTCATCAGGTTTTAGTTCTGTAACAATGTTTATCAGTCTGTACTGGTGGAGCAGAATAAAGTCAACCATATATTCTCACAGTGTTAGAAAATAAAAACTCTATCTCACATAACTGTTGGAGTTGCATGGCTACTTAACACCTTTCAGTTTTTTTTCTAAGAAGTAAACCTTGTCTTCATGGCTGCTGCTGCTGACAATCAAATCTAGATGCCGTGTAAGCTAACACACAGCACCCAGTCTGAGCACAATTTATTAAGGTACAAATAAATATTTATTTCCTTATTACATGTTTGATGTACATTTCATTATTTACAATACATTATTTCCGTCAGCAGGCAGCCCTACATGGACTAAAACAAGAATGTAGAAAAAACTGTATTTACCGGTTAATGTGGGTGGTCAAGGTCAACTTGTAGCTATTTATACATTTATTGTATGATTAGATCTGAACTTTTGAATAGTGTTGTCATTTGTTATCGTTCATCATTTGAACACAGAAGCTGCTCTTAACATTATGTGAAAATTTCATTTTGGACGGACCAGAATTGGTCCAAAATTGCTTGAATAAAATCTCTTTACATAAACATTGAAAGTAAATAAAGTGTTTAACTTAACCTGTAACATTACCCTTTTGGAGATATGTTTCTTTTTTCAGCAGCAACATTTACATTCTTCGCTGCAAACACCTGCAAAACTCCATATCTTAAGCTTCTTACATCTAATAATCTGAATCTGATACTTTAAAATATTCTAATGGAAATGACGTTAATAAACTTCATGCAACTCTAGATGGATTACTGAATGTAAAAGGTTATGATGTCACTTAAAGAAACTCTTATGGAGCACTTAATGCTTTTCTTTTTCACACACTGAACTTAAAAAATTAATAAATAAATAATAATAATAATAATATTAAAAAAAAAATCCTTAAGGTGTCTCTTACAACCAGGCACTGAACTCTACACAGTGTTTATCAGAGAACTGCAGAATATCCAGTAAAGAAGGCTGAGATCATCTGTAATCTCTCACCTCTACTAGAGATCTTTCTAAACTCCTCTTCACAGAGCTGCTCCACTTTCTCTCTCAGATGAGACACAGAGTTCAACACCTCCTTAAAAGAGTTATTAGGACTGAATATGATGGAGGTCAATCCTGCAGATCCAGGAGGAACCAAGAGAGGCTGGAAACTCTACAGAGAACCAAAAAAACAAGACAGTGTTCCACAGTTCAAACACTCATCTTATTAAGAGGAGCTAATAGAGACAGAGGATCTTGGTTTTAGGAACTGCTGGAGTTAAAAGCTATTGTACATTTATCCCAACCTTCATTGTGTTTCAGACTTTTAAACTGGCAATTTTATCGCTAAATGACCATTTGTTTTAAAGAATTTGGTGAAACTGATCTCAAAAAGTCTGGCTTTATGAAAAGTTGAAAAGCACTGAGATGGCTCTGAGAGATGTAAGTTATATTATAAGACTTGCTGACTCTATTTTGCTATTGCTAGATTTCAGCACAGCTTTCGATACTGTTTTCTTGGTCAGTGTGTTTGGAGAACATGAACTGCTCTGAATGGGCCTTTATCATATTTACCAGTAAAAATGTTAGTTGATTAGTGACAGGATGTCCTTTACCATAGATCTTACCTGTGGGGTGCCTCAGGGCTCCATTCTTGGCTCTGTTAATTGCACTCAATACACTTCCCCTGTATTTTTTAACCAATTTTTTTTCCTTATTTCTACACTGATGGATCTGTCTGTACAACACAATTAAGAAATGTAAATTATTGTTCTTAAACCGTCAAGCCATCAATGTTTTGTACATTCCTTAAAGTAAATTAATATAAATCTGAAGTTCTTCAGTATTTTTAGAGATTTGATGATAGCCAATTATGCTTTAACTACTGTAATGCTTTATACACTTGCCTTAATCAAAGATGCTCTGGTTCTGCTTCAGTTCCCAAATTTTAATTGGGGATCAACAAAGTGCATCTGTCTATCTAATTAGTCCATTCAGCTTATTTTCATACATGCATTTGTGGAGGAGGAAGCTAAAGTGCAATTATTAGCATTAGCATAAACTATTAGGGGTGGGAATCTTTAGGCACCTCACAATGCGATTACGATTCAGAGGCTGCGATGAGATTATAAAACGATTATCGATGCACATCTTTTTTTCTGTCCAGGATTTCTATTTGCTCACTGTGTGAGGACTCACTAGTTTTAAAGCAAAGTATTTGTAATGATCTATAATGAATTTACTTCCAATATATTTTATTATTAAATCAAATGGAAGTGATCTAGAAGGCTCTCACTCACTGCTCTTGTTTGAGACGCTGCTGCCACTCATCTGTGGTAAAATGCGCTGTTAGGGTGAAATAAGATCCAGTGGTGATGGATGTCCACGCAGCAGATGATACAGCTGTCCTACCCGTTTAATTCAGTGACTTTATAACTTCGGTTTTGGTCTCATTGTAGAGAGTCAGGGGTCACTGTGTCAGTAAAATATCTTCGAGACTAGACGCTGAATCTTGGCTCCAAAGTGTGCAACATAGCGCGAAAGCCCTGGTTCTCAACAACTGAGAAGACTGCAGGTCACTTAGCAGCAAAATCTTGCCTGGCTAGCAGCTACGAAAAGGCAAAGAGAGAGATTTAGCTGAGACAAACATTTGGAGACGAGTGGACTTATTTGCATTTATAAGCGCTGCAGTTGGCTTTCTAGAATGCTAAATTTGCAATGAGAGACTGTCAAACACTAAAAGTTGCGAAGATGAAGTCGCTTCTCTTTCGACTTTTGCCGGTCCACCTTAAATGGTGCAGCAGCTACATTCGGCGCCTCAGGCAGAATTTAAGGTGGAACGGGAAAATTTGAACAAGAAGCTGGAGAACGAGAAGCGACTTCAGCCTCGTAAAACAGACAAACTTTGAGAGACACTTTCCTGAGGGGAAGGGGAGGAAAGCAGCTGTAGCTATAGCTTAAAGCAGAGTAGAGTAAATCTGCGCTCTCGTTTATATTGTTTAGCCTATTCTAGGACATTAACACACACTGAGACATGCTGGACATTAAATGTTGCGGCTCCGAAGGTGCTTTGATTTTTGTTGAAAGGACAAAATGGCTGCTCTTGTCATTTGTGTTGTGACTCCTGACCTAACCTGGCTTTAGTGCAGAGGGAGCCGGTCGGATTTCTCACTCATCCAGTAGTGTTTTTGTTATGTGCCACCCGGGAAGACTGTCCGGGCGCTGCACTTACCCACTTCCAAGTTCTGCTTTTCATGTTCTGTCAACATTACGGTATAAATTAAATATTTAGAAAATCAAAATTGACATTCATGAATCGATTCAGAATCTTTCACATCCGCATCACAATGCATCTAAGAATCAAGTTTTTCCTGCACCCCTATAAACTATATATGTCAGAATTGTACATTTCCAAAATGAGTCTTCCACAAATTAAAATTTTAGGCCTAACGTAGATCTACCAGGTAATCAATTTTGTATGGTAAACAGAGACAAAGAGCTGTTTACAGATGTCAGACTGAAACACCAGTAAATGGACGTTCCAGCCTCTTCACTTCAGGCTTTGAGTTCATTGGTGAATCTCAGTGTAGAGGTTCTGGTGGTGCTTTTACCTGGAGGAAATGGATGTGGTCCTCAGTGAGTGAAAGCTGCTCCAGCTCAGTGTTTCTCCTCCTCAGCTTAGAGATCTCCTGCTCCAGTCTCCTCAGGGCTCCTTCAGCTCGACTCACTGCAGCCTCCTCCTGAGCTCTGATCAGCTCTGATATCTCAGAGTGTCTTTGCTTAATGGAGCTGATCAGTTCAGTAAAGATCTTCTCAGTGTTCTCCACTGCTGTCTGAGCAGAGCTCTGTTAGAACACAGAGAGAGAAGAGGAGAGTCTGAAGACTTTTTCACCTGGACACAGAACCTGTGTTGATAATTTGATGATGTTCAGCCAGATTTGAAAGTAACCATATTTTGATTTGTTTTGGCTGCTGGGTGGATTCTGTCTCACTGACTGACTAAGAGATCAATCCTCTTCTAGAAATCAGCTCTTGATCTTCTGCTCCAGACTTACCTTGTGAGACTCCACAGCCTTCCTCAGCTGCTCCACCTCCTTCTTTCTCTCCTGGATTCTCTGCTGGAATTGTGTCTTGGTCTCCATTAGCTTCTTCTACAGAAACACAACCCATAATCCATCCACACAGCACTTAGAATGGGTTATACACAATATTATGAATGTGTCTGTAATGTTTTTGCGTTGGTGTCACTGTTTAACAGAAAAAGTTGTTTATCTCTTTAGATGAGATTCTGGTACAGACAAGTTATTTAACAGGCTGGACTAGAAAAATCTGCTGTAACCTACGTCAAGTTTCTATTGTCTTCAGAAACGCTTAAAATGTACACAGGCAGAGTTGATAGTTTTTACATGTAGATTTTTTCAGTGTTATTCTGTAATGTACAAAGTACTTACATCTCATTTTAAGCAGTAGAAAAAATAATACAGTTCTTACCTGTTTCTCAGCTCGTTCTGCTGCAGCTGGTACTGTATCGTGTCCTTTATGGTCATCCATGGTACACAGCATGCAGATACACTGCTGGTCAGTGCGACAGTAAACCTGCAGACGTTGCTCATGCTGAGAGCAGATCTGCTCCTGGAGGCGTCTGGAGGCTTTGACCAGCTTGTGCTTCTTAAAGGCAGGAGATTGATAGTGAGGCTGGAGGTGAGTCTCACAGAACGAGGCCAGACACACCAGGCAGGACTGGACGGCTCTGAGTTTTCTCCCAGTGCAGACGTCACACTCCACATCTCCAGGTCCAGCGGGAGAAGCAGTGTGGAGCTCCGTCTTCTTCAGTTTCTCCATCATTTCAGCAAGCATCACGTTCTTGGATAAAACCGGCCTTGGAGTGAAGGAGCGTCTGCACTGAGGGCAGCTGTACTCCCCCTTCAGATCCTCCTGATCCCAGCAGCCATTAATACACACCAGACAGAAGCTGTGTCCACAGGGAGTGGTCACTGGATTATTCAGGACGTCCAGACAGACTGGACAGCTGAACTGATCCACTGAAACACTGGCCATTTTACTGCAGATACACAATCACCACGACAGAAACACCAGCGCAGTCAGAGATCCGTACAGCAGCAGCTCCACTGTGGAATGGAATGAAGTTTCTGTTTCTCTGAACTGAAGAACAGAAACAGTTTCCTGGTTCTGACTGCGAGAACCAAAAGTGAAACTAGTGTGTCTGTCTGAGATCACTCATCTACATTTAACCCTTTAACAACTGAATACGACTTGGCACTCTGTTTTTTTTTTTATTAAATTCAACTTAATTGCAGCCATAGCAACAAAATAATAATAAAAAACAACAACAATAATTATAATAATACCAATATTAAATGGTGGATGGTTGGAATGGAGGATGGAGGTTCTTAATAATGTAATTCCTGTTTTTTAAATACAGGAGGTTGTGTAATGTAAGTGTGTGTGCGCGCGCACGCGTGTGTGTGTGTGTGTGTGTGTGTACTTAAGAGAGTTGAGCTGTATCTCAGTGTATAAGCACAGTGTCTCTTACAGGCTTTGGACTCTGTTTGCTATCCAGGAGCGTCATTACACCTGATTCACTGAGGTATGTGTCCCAGTAAACTGCTGCAGTGCCCCACTAAAGTCAACAAGAAGGCCATAAAGGTCTCTGTCTTATCCTGGACTGCTGAGCAGAGCTACAGTACATGCCACGCAAATTCAATGCGGTCACTACATTTCCCATAATGGTCCTGAATCTTTTCAAAAGCTTGAGTGGCTAACGCTTTTAGTCAGAGTCAGTTTCCTCCCGTTTTTCACATGGAGTAAGGACATAAATAATTTAAATAAAATTAGCTATGCAGCAGACAAAGTAATGAGATCTCATAGCTGTATAATTTGGCTATAGTCATATATAAAATAGAATTGTATAACATACTAAAAATACAATATTATACCACTAAAGCAAAGGCATTAATGACATTAGCAAAGGCTTTAATTATACTAGTGAAAGCAGCATTGATAACACAAGATTGAACAATGAGCAGTGCAATATAGCCAGTATATCAGTGAACTACTCATCCTACATCACCTGAACTGATGATGCAACGACACAATCACAATTTCACATGTAGTTTTACACCATAATTACACCATTATTGATGTAATTAATAACATTTTCTTCGTTACTTTGTTCATTTCTCCTCTATGGCAGAGTGACGCCCACTTTAGTGTTAAATAATGTGATCTATTTAGATACATAGTTGTGCCCCTATGACTGATTGGGAATCAGAGGTGGTCCTGCTTTGCCCCTCTTAATGTGTGCCCCCCGTATTACAAGTAGTCAACTACAATTACAAGTGGGATAATTGCTGATTTTCCTCTCATTCTGAGCTGCATCCTACATTACAAACTGGCACCCAGACTTTTACCCCTCGGCCTCTGGATGATAGTTTCTAGCCAGCGTCATTCTCAAAGCTTCTGTCCACTGACTGTTAATGCTGGCTTCGTCTTGTGATTTGGAACTTGGTGCTTGATTCAAACTTCATATTAACTTCTCCTCTGGTGAGAGTGGCTGTTATTCCACTGCTGCCTTTCACTGTTATCTTTGTGCTGGAAGCTGCTAGCTAGCCATGCTAAAGTACTTTATATCCTAGTTTGTCTCATCGTTGTTGCTGATGAGACCCACCACAGTCGTGTCGTCCGCGAACTTGATGAAGAGGTTGGAGCTGTGTGACGGTGTGCAGGCGTGGGACATCAGAGTGAATGGGGGGGCTGAGTACACATCCTTGGGGGGCCCTGTGTTCAGTGTGATGGTGTAGGATGTGTTGTTGCCGGCCCGTACTGCCTGTGGTCTCCCATTCAGGAAGTCTAACAGCCAGTTGCATAGTGAAGTGTTCAGCCCCAGCCTGTCCAGTTTGAGAATGAGCTGCTGGGGGATGATGGTGTTAAATGCGGAGCTGAAATCTATGAATAGCATTCTGACATAAGAGTCTTTTTTGTCCAGATGTGTCAGGGCTGAGTGGAGGGCAGTGGAGATGGCATCATCAACCGAGCGATTAGGCCGATATGCAAACTGGAAGGGGTCCAGGGAGGGGGGAAGTTGTGGAGGAGAAGCTTTATTGTGCTTGGTTAAAGAGTGGAGATGGCAGCCAGGACACTGTAGTTACTGGCGACATAGGAGCTGTGTGTGTGGCATGTGCAGGTATGCAGGTGGGGGGGCTAATAGCGTTGACGCTCTAGCATAATGGGAGAAGAGCATATTGAATTTAATTTAATTCAGAACCATTAGCCAACTGTGTTTTACACACAGAGGAATTAGATCTCTGCATTTAACCCACCCGTGCAGTGAAACACACACACACACACACACACACACACACACACACACACACACACACACAGGGAGCAGTTTGTGGTGCCTTGCTCAAGAGCACTTCAGTCATGTACTGTTGGCCAAGGGGATCAAACTGGCAACCTTCCGGTCACAAGGCTGGTTCCCTAACCTCCAGCCCACGCCTGCCCCTGCTGGTAGCAATAGTAGAGAGAGTGGTTGTTTTCCAAGTTTTAGCTCAAATATTAAAGAATGTTTATTTTTTTAGAGTGGATGATCTAGGAACAAGTTTGTGAGTGATATGTGATTAAAACTTGAAATACATGCTCCCTTCATGTTTACAGAGCATTGTGTATCAGTGTGCGGTGAGACAAAGGGCGACCAGGCATTGAGTGCCACTAGTGCTGTCATTTCTACAGGTACAAGCCTATTGAGTGCTACTGGTGATGGTCACTGTTTTTCCTCCTTGTTTTTGCATATTGTATGTTTGGTTAGTAGTGGGGTGGGGCCTTACCTACAGCATCAGGGTCTGTTCTCTTTTTATAAGCCATAGTTTAAGCTGCATTTTTAAGGGTTACTTCCAACTATTTTTTTTTTTTTTTGCAAGAGTCAAGAGTTTAGTCAAGAGTTGTTAACCATATTACATATAAGTGTATAATTTTTTAAAATTGTTGATTGAATAATTAGTCTTACTACTATTTTTTATTTTGAGGTAATTGTTAAATAAAGTTGTCCAGTGTATCAGCCTCATACTGTATTCTGTGTGCCTTATTGAAAAGTGATTGGCTTTTTTCTGTGGTAGAGTGTTGTCCCGGTGTCCCAGAGTAGAAGTTGGGACCCTTTAGCAAACAGGGGCTGTTGCCAACAGTGATGCAGGCCACATAGTGAAAGACAAACAGAGAAAGTCTGTTAATATCTACAGCCTGCAGAAGGAGAGATCAGTGGGTTAAACATACATGTTTGAGATTTGTGTTCTGTGTTGAAAGCATTATAATATGAGGTGGCAGGGAAGTGGACTTTCTGTTGCAGCTGGGGTCTGTAATGTTGGTGTAAAAGGCTGTGGGGCGTCTCTCTCTCTCTCTCTCTCTCTCTCTCTCTCTCTCTCTCTCTCTCTCTCTGTCTCTCTCTCTCTGTCTCTCTCTCGTCTTTTCCGCTCCTTTTCTAACCATCTTTCGCCTTATAGGTGGATCGAAGTGTCACTCTTCACTGTTTCCTTTTGACTAATCAGAGCATGAGCTGACCGAACGGGGGCGGGACTTCAGGTTTAAGAGCTGCGCTTGCGCAGAAGCCTGTCTGTGTTTGTGGTGCTCGGTTTATTAGTAAACACTGACTTGTTCGGTTACTTTGTTTGTTGTATATATTAGATAGTGAGGAAACCGAAGCTTTCCTCCTAACTGCATCCTAAAGATGTTCACTACTCAAAGCCTCATGACACACTGCACATTAGTGCCATCTGGTGGCCAAAACCACAAAGTGCTTCGTGTATCTAGTGGGCAGTGGATCTTTTTTTTAAACTGTGTTCCAGTGCATTAAAAACACGACATTTGTTGTTTCAATAAAAACTACTGATAAAAAATAGTTTTTTGTGCATGTCTTAAACATCATTGCTATGTTGGGTACAAATATCCAGGGTTGAACAAAGTGCTTAGAAAAAGTAGTGATGGCTGAATAATGGAATGTATTCTAAACAGTAATGTATTCAGAATAAATTTAGAACACACCCAGAACTCGTCTTGATAAGGCACATTGGAAAAACTGTTCTGTTGTAATTATTACATTCACACTGTTGCTGATTGGCACTTATTATGTAATTATTCTGTTAATATATCTACAATTATAAAGGTCTAAAACTCCAGAGCAGAGCTTCTGATAACCTACTTATATCGACCACAGCCTTAGTCATCGCCTGTTTTTCCATAAGGCTCATGGGGGCTTCATGTATGATGTATTTCACATGTGACTGTATTTTGTGCTCATGGATGTGAGAGTAGTGGGTGTGGACAGGGCAGTGAAAGTGCTTTTGCAGTGGGCAGGGATCATTTATTTAATGGTGGGTGGTCGTGATTGTGGACGTATAATGCTTTATGATGTATGATTTTCTCAACATCTGGTAAGTTGTAAAAAACAACTAAATAAAAAATCCAATTAAACAAGAATGCAGATGGTCATTGTTCCACGATATCCACAATATTCTCAGAAAAGCATACTGTGACAAAATGCATTATGATAATGATAGTTTCATATAGCCCAGCCCTAATTTCTATTTAATGATATCTGCATGTATGTGATCTGTGGGATCTCCTCTAAAAAGCTGTACTAAACTCATAAATCAGATGTGTTAGAAATGTCATGTGCACAGTTTCATTGGACAGAGCTTTTACCTCTGAAGTAGTTTTTCATCTTTGGACCCAACTGATAAGTCAAGGCTTTAACAGGGTCCAGTTTTGCTTCTCACTGCGTATCAGTCAGCGGTTTCAGGTTTTAGTGTAACATCAAAAACTTTAAAAGATCTTCAGACACTCTGTTGGAAGATGCTGCATCACACAGTGACAGGTTAGTGCTGTGGGTGTCTCTGTTCTACTGATGGTCTAATTGTGAATTCCTCTCCTATTGGAGCTGTTATCATAACTCTGTCCACAACAGTTAAACCTAAATTATATATATATATATGATAAGTATGATATATATATATATATATATATATATATATATATATATATATATATATATATATATCATATCTTTTTCTATCTAGTATGGTGATTTATCTTTATGTTGACACCTGCACTAAGAGAAATTCCTTGTACATCTGATACTTGGTGAATAAAACTCTTATTTCTGATTCTGGAGTGTTTTTGGCTTTGGCTTTTGGCTGCTTTGAGCTTATTTTAATATTGTTTGAAAACATTTCACATTTTTTCCTTATTAGTCAATTGCTTTTTTCACAGATTGTCATTAAAGGGCACCGTTACTGGCCCACTAATGACCACTGCCCCCACCCTTTAGTATAGACCTGAAGACCACCAGAGGGTTTTCCTCGGCCTACTTGGCCCAGTGGTTGAGAACTCCTTGGAGCTCCATGGTGGAATGAGCTTTTGCTTCCATCCTCTTCATCACTGCCTCCTCTCAGTGCAGTCAGTCCTGTGATGGCTTTTCAGATCAGTTTTAGCGCTCGCTGCAGAGAGAAGAACGCCAACGCTTCCTCATCTCCTCAGAGAAACTAAAGATTACTTTTTGCAGATATTTCCTGAACTCCACCAGTTTATAGAGAGCAGGAAATACTGATCTGTCCAGCAACATCCGCAGTTTCGGTGCTGCTTTTTCGTCCTGTTTTTATAAATACCTGCAGACAGGGGTCTTCAAAATATCTGATGCAGGGGTCTTCGTGGTGTCCAAGTCTGGGGTCTTCACGTTATCTGTGTATAAAAGGTCTGTGGTTTGTGTTGACTACACTACTGTTTGAGTTACTCAGGTGGTGGACAAAGTATACCAACTCTGTCCTTCAGTGAAAGTAGAGTCTGAGTAAAACATTACTCCACTAAAAACAGACGTTCAAGGACAAAACTGTAAATAATTTATTATTTTGGGTGATTCACTGCAATGAAACATTTTAAAAATCAGTGCCTTGAATGATCAGAGTATTAGCAGTTGAGATGCTCCGCCTCCTACCAGTGTCTCCTCCTCCTTTAGGAAGTTCTCTCTTTATCAGTCTCTGTTTTCTGCTCTACTCAATCAGAAAACAGACTCTCTGCTCTGCGTCAGGATGAAGCTCCTCACTCTGCTCCTGCTGCTGGGCTTCACCTCACTGACCGGGTCAGAGGTCGTGCAGTCTTTTAAAAGTCAGTGTCGTCAGTTCTTTATGCCAAATCCACATGATCAAACTGAAGTCATCACTCCAACTGTTCTAAAGGAACCTCGGTATAGGCAGATTTGTCAGCGCTGGAAAGGCCAGTACAGATACGCCACTCTGTACGATACGAAGAGCAGGATCCCCGTCTACTCCGCTTACACGTTCTACCGTAAAGGCAGAATTAATCGAACTAATGTCTGGAACATTGAACCTCAGGTGAGTGAACCTTAAAGCAGTGAGGGTCAAATGTATGTACAAGTGTAGGAGTGACGCACAATGTGCCCACAGTGTGACTGAATTTAGCAATAGATTTACTAAGCTAATCACAGAAACTGCTGACAGTGTTAAAGGATCTCAATGCAGCTTTTGACACTAACATAAATGTACACCTGGTCCAGAGTGGAATAAGTAATTAGCCACACACGTGAAGTCTTATCCCATTTTTTCCACAATCCTTTTTCAAATGCCTGATTAAAAAAAGCATTCAGCATTTTTCCAACACGCAGCCCATAAACGGCTCGTTCAGGCTGAGGTGACAGTTTTGTACAGGACATGAGAGCTCAATGCACAAACTGCCCCCAAACTCTCAGCACATCTGTAAACCCTGAGTGTTACTTAGACCATCTGAGGTTCATTAAGTGTCATTGAGAGTCTGTGGTAGATAATCAGTCTTTTCAGTCAGTTTCATCTGTTCTGCACTGTTCCACTCTGTTCAGGAGTTGCTGTGCAGATTAATTTGAAGAACACTGAATTTGAAAATATACAAAGACATTGAGACCCTTATGATGATGAAGTTTGTGAAATGTCATGCAGCCTTTTTTTCCTTTTCATTACCTACAGCTTTTTAAAAACACTCAAATGCCCAAAGTTCTCAGAGGGTAAAGGAGCACTAATCGCTCATTTCACTACTTTACCGTAAGATAAAACCATTATTCACAAATCTGATGTACGTTAAGTTCAAACCTTTCCAAAAATTGACATGGTCATCCTCTTAACTCCCTGAGGCTAACCTAGCGGAGAGCCGATGTATTCCGTCTGAATAATTAATTCTTGCTGATCCTCCTCCTCTTTTACTGTGTGTGACCACTTACGTTACATAGGTGTGACACACCTTTCTGTGGGGGTGAGTCGCAGGTCATGTTAAAAGTAATGAAACGGACCATAAACTTTAGAAAATACATTATTAAAATGAGGGAATTTGCACAATATTACAAAAGAAAAATAACTTAAAGGAACTACAGCTACATTTCCAGTGCAGTCATGTGAAGAAGAAAGTACACCTTTCTTTTGTTCTGTGTTTTTATATATCAGGTTCTGACAACACAACATCCGCCAACAGAACATGAGCCAGTCTGCAGAAGCAATGTGGGAAAAATTAAGCACACCCCATAATTCAGTCAGACTCCGGGGAGAAAAAGGGAGAACTCTGAGTTTATTTAGAGTGAACAGTGTCTTCACTGTGGCTCAGAGTCTAATTTTTAAAATGAAACTAAACTCTCCTCACTGTATTACAGTAACTCCTCTGTAAGCTAATGCTTATTTACACAGCTGTACAGATGTTTGTTTTTACATTCTGAAATACTCTGTATGTAATAGTTTGTCGTTTATGTTTACTCATCTTCATATGTGTAGGTGTTCTTATCTGCATATGTACAGATATTCACACTTCTCTTTAGCTCCTTCCCAGCTTTATTTTTTTATTGTATTTAGGATATTTGTTTCTGAGTTTAATCCTTGTTATCAGTCTGTGTTCTTTTCTGGTCTGTTCAGTGTGTTAAAGTCATTCATGTGTGGCTCACCAAGACAAATTCCTTGTATGTGTAACACATTTGGCAAAATAAAGTGATTTACAATTTTTTTTCCTTCATAACAGCTCGATCTGCCATTGACGCCTGAGAATAGTAATATGGGGTCAAACTTTACAGCAGAGGAGACGTACAGGTTTAAAAATCAGGCTCGGTCAGAAGACTATCAAGGACGCATGACTAGAGGCCATGTTTTTCCAAACTGTTACACTGCTGATCAGGACCAGGCAGATTCCACCTTTACGCTCACTAACGCAGCACCACAGACTGCTGAGAGCAACAGAGAGTGGGCAAAGCAGGTGGAGGAACCGATGCTCAAAGAGTGTCACGCCTCAGGAGGACTCAGACTACATTGCCCACAACCCCTCGGGAGATCATATGACTTTAGATGGTTGTGCATGCACCTATCAGCGCTCACATTCACCGGAATACTAAATACATTCACCTGTGTTTATTGTCATATGACCCACATAGTATAGCTTATAAGCCCGGGCTTTAGTCTTAGTCATTGCGAGGTATTGCTTCTGCTAGAACTTGCTGAGCGTTTCTATTATTCTGTTTGCTACGACCTGTTATGACCTACGTTTTGTCTCTCTGACCTTGATTTTTGCCTGTCCCTTCTTGTACTTTTGCTGACGGTTTTTGGATACGTGTTTTGATTGTTTGGCCTGGTTTTTTGACTACGATATCGGATCACTCCCTTGGATTTGTTTGTTTTGGTTATGATCACTTCGGTGATCTTGTACTGCTTTCTGGTTACGACCCACGCATGTTTTTTGACCTCTTCTTTGTCGCCCTCGAATAAAGCTTGGTGTACGCTTTTAATCCACAAGCGTCTGAATCCTGTTGCATCGTCACAGAATACCTCGCCGAGCATGCAGACGGCGGATCCAGAAGCCTTCCAAAAGGCTTTAACGGAACAGGGACAACTTCTTGGACGACACCAGCAGGTCCTATCCGGGGTGACTCAGTCTCTGGAGTCGATCGCTAATCAACAGGCGGAACAGCAGGCTCAACTGGCTCAATTGGTGACCAGCGTAAGAGGTTTGACCGGCCAACTACAAAGTATGACTCTTACTGAACCCATCGCTAGCTCCAGAGGACCCACCATGCCTGTTGCTGCCTCGCATGTTGTCTTTCCTGTAAGTAAACCGGATAAATTTGATGGGGAGCCGGACAAATGTCGAGGATTTTTGCTCCAGTGTTCTGTGTATTTCGAGAATTCTCCGGCGAGCTCTGATCAAGCAAAAATCGCTTTTATAGTTTCGCGTTTAGCCGGTAAGGCTCTCGAATGGGCTACAGCTAGTTGGGCTCAAATACACCGTCTCTCATATGAACAATTCTTGAAAGACTTCAAGATGGTGTTTGACCATCCCTATGAAGGGAAAGTGAGCGGGGAGTTATTGGTGAATTTACGTCAGGGGAATCGATCTGTAGTTGATTATTCCTTGGAATAACCTTAGCTGCAAGCAGTGGCTGGAACGAGGCGGCACTTTTAGTTATGTTTCGCCAAGGATTGCATGCGGACATATTAAGTGAATTGGCTAGTAATGACGATGACTTAACACTGGATCAGCTGATCACACTAGCCATAAAGCTTGATCAGCTAATCCACCATCGAAACAAAGTCAAGAGTGATCGCAATCCACGAAGCGCCCCAAACAGACGGAGATTCCGGATGGAAGACAATGACACTGCCGAGCCCATGCAGTGTGACTCCTCCCGGCTATCACGAGAAGAACGGCAACGTCGTTTTGACAACAACCTCTGCTTGTACTGTGGGAAAGCTGGCCACCAAGTACGGGAGTGCCATGTACGACCTCAAAAACGCAAGGCGCCGACCCCTGGACAGCACGTGGAGTCTACTCCACGTGCTAATGTGGTGAGTGTTCCCACAAAGGGGTTGGTTTCGAAATCTTTTATGTTACCTGTCACAATATACTGTCATCTCCGATCTCTTGTCGTTTCAGCCCTGATCGATTCTGGAGCAGAGGGGAATTTCATCCACGCCAAGGTGGTTGAACAACTACAAGCTCCAGTAAGAAATCTACAAACTCAGCTTAAGGTGGCAGCGTTGGACGGAGGACCAGTGGGCGTGGGCACGATTTCAAAAGTCACAGATCCTTTAGAAGTTCAAACCAGTGCCCTACACCTAGAGAACATGTCATTTCTAGTTCTGGAACATTCTGAATTTGAACTCATTCTAGGACTCCCCTGGCTTGAGAGACATAATCCTGTCATATCATGGTCTGAACACTCCATAATTAGATGGTCGGACTTTTGCCTACAATCTTGTATACATACTCCTACCCTTACCCTCGGTTCGACCTCAGTAGAAAGCCCCAATGCCGAACACCCCTTCGAAATCCCTCTTGAATACATTGATTTGAAGGAAGTGTTTAACAAATACAATGCCACTAGACTGCCCCCTCATAGGCCATATGACTGTGCAATAGACTTAGTAGAAAATCCTGTCTTCCCCAAAGCCAGAATTTATCCTCTAACTCAAGAAGAACAAAAGGCTCTTGATGTCTATATTCAAGAAGCGCTCAGCCAAGGTTTCATTAGACCCTCCACTTCACCCATAGCATCAAGTTTCTTCTTTATCAAGAAGAAAGACGGGGGGCTCCGTCCCTGTATTGATTATCGGGCCCTTAACCAGATTTCCAAAGCCTATTCGTATCCACTCCCCTTAGTCCCTGTGGCCTTAGAACAACTTCAAGGGGCTCGATACTTTACCAAATTAGATCTGAGAAGCGCCTATAATCTCATTCGAGTAAAAGAGGGAGATGAGTGGAAGACTGCATTTTTGACCACTAGGGGGCACTACGAATATACGGTGATGCCATTCGGGCTCTCTATCGCCCCCTCGGTTTTCCAAGCCTTCATTAATGACGTTCTCAGGGACATGTTGGGACAATACGTCATCGCCTACTTGGATGACATCTTGGTGTACTCTCCCGATTTTGAAAGCCATGTAAAACAGTTTAGAACTGTACTGCAGCGCCTGTTGCAAAATAATCTGTATCTGAAAGGGGAAAAATGTGAGTTCCATTTGCAATCTGTGGCTTTCCTAGGTTATATTATCAGTCAACAGGGTGTAGTCATGGATGATCAGAAAGTGGATGCTGTTATACAATGGCCCGTCCCTAAAACAGTAAAAGAATTGCAACGGTTTTTAGGTTTCGCAAACTTCTACCGCCGATTTATTCGAAATTTCAGCATTATTGCAGCCCCTATTACGTCGTTGTTAAGAGGAAACCCAAAGAGAATTGTCTGGAATTCGCAAGCAGAAAGGGCTTTCCAAAACCTCAAGGAAGCATTTACCTCGGCCCCCATTTTAAAGCACCCTGACCCACAACAACCCTTTGTAGTTGAAGTGGATGCCTCGGAGACTGGAGTAGGGGCGGTTTTGTCACAGAGAACGGGCGTTCCACAAAAGTTGCATCCCATAGCGTTTTACTCCCATAAGTTATCACCAGCAGAAAAGAATTATGGGATAGGAGATAGGGAGCTCTTGGCAGTAAAACTAGCTTTGGAAGAATGGAGGCACTGGCTAGAAGGGGCTAATCATCCCTTTTCGGTCATCACAGACCATAAAAATCTCGAATACCTCCGTACTGCTAAAAGGTTAAATGCACGCCAAGCCCGTTGGTCCTTGTTCTTTTCCCGATTCAGGTTCAGTATCACATATAGGCCTGGGTCTCGTAACACAAAAGCCGATGCCCTGTCTCGAATCCATCAAGAAGAGCCGGTCCATTTAGAAACAGAACGACCAGAGTGCATTCTGCCGCCTGAAGTGAACATTTCGTCGATTAGATGGGAAATAGATGAAGAAATTGAACGCGCCAATAGCACACTAGATATTCCCACTCAGTGTCCCCCAGAGAAACTGTATGTTCCTGTCGAATTTCGCACGCGACTCGTCACTTGGGCACACTCATCCCTCACATCGGGTCATCCTGGGGAGACAAGGACTCTTAAACTAATTGCACAACGATATTGGTGGGAATCAATGAGCAAAGACATTCATTCTATGGTTTCGTCATGTTCAGTATGCTCCCAATGTAAAACACCTAAAGCGCTTCCGGCGGGCAAACTCATGCCCTTACCGGTACCCCTCCGACCCTGGTCCCACATAGCTATTGATTTTGTGACTGACTTGCCAGAATCATTAGGATTTACCACCATTTTGACAGTGGTGGATAGGTTTTCACGAGGTGTGCGATTCATTCCATTCCCCACAATTCCTAGTGCCTTTCAAACAGCCGAGACATTGTTCCAGCAGGTGTTTCGTTACTTCGGCATCCCCGAAGACATAGTTTCAGACAGAGGACCTCAATTCACGTCACAGGTGTGGGCAGCGTTTTTTGAACATTTGGGGGTTTCTGTCAGCTTAACTTCTGGATATCACCCGCAAGCTAACGGGCAATGCGAGAGAGTAAACCAAGAACTGGGTAAATTCCTGAGGGTTTTCTCTCATGACAACCCTTCGGACTGGTCAAGATATTTGATTTGGGCAGAAATGGCACAAAACTCATTAACCGGTTCAGTTACAGGCATGACCCCATTTCAGTGTATTTTAGGATACCAGCCACCTCTAGCCCCTCGGACAGGGGTACAGACGGACCTCCCCGCCGTGGATGAATGGATGACGAGGAGCGAACGAATATGGGAAGAAACTCACCAGCGAATAGAAGCGGTACTTCAAAGACACAAGGAACAGGCGGACCGTCGCCGTGGACCTACTCCAGTGTATCAACCCGGCGATCAAGTATGGCTGGCTACGAAGGACTTTCGACACTCAGAGGGAAGTTGTAAGAAACTCCAACCCAAATATATTGGGCCATTTAAAATAGTAAAGCGTATCAATGATGTCACCTATAGATTAGACTTACCCCCTCGCTTTAGAGTCTCGAGGTCATTTCATGTTTCTCTTCTCAAACCTGCCATTACAGGGCCCTTGGACGAGGCTGTGCCAGACGTCGTGCCACCCCCACCGGAGGTGATAGATGGGGCTCCTGTTTATGCTGTCCGTAGGCTGCTGGACTCCCGGAGACGTGGGGGACAGCTGCAATACCTGGTTGACTGGGAGGGGTATGGTCCAGAAGAACAATGCTGAGTGGCTGCCAAAGACGTTTTGGACCCGGCTCTGATTGCGGATTTTCACAGCCGCAACTCACAGAAGCCCGCTCCCAGACCCAGGGGTCGTCCGAGGAAACAGCTGTCCTGCTCTCTTCCCACGCGTCTAGGAGGTTCACGGCAGAAGGATTCGTCGGTCCAGCGCCTCGGCAGCTCAGGCTCTGCCCCTGTGCGGAGATCCGGTGGTGCGTGTGGTGGTCGTCCTGGCAGGTCTCGATCCGAGACCCGCCCGGACTCTTTGGGGGGGGGTACTGTCACGCCTAAGGAGGACTCAGACTACATTGCCCACAACCCCTCGGGAGATCATATGACTTTAGATGGTTGTGCACGCACCTATCAGCGCTCACATTCACCGGAATACTAAATACATTCACCTGTGTTTATTGTCATATGACCCACATAGTATAGCTTATAAGCCCGGGCTTTAGTCTTAGTCATTGCGAGGTATTGTTTCTGCTAGAACTTGCTGAGCGTTTCTATTATTCTGTTTGCTACGACCTGTTATGACCTACGTTTTGTCTCTCTGACCTTGATTTTTGCCTGTCCCTTCTTGTACTTTTGCTGACGGTTTTTGGATACGTGTTTTGATTGTTTGGCCTGGTTTTTTGACTACGATATCGGATCACTCCCTTGGATTTGTTTGTTTTGGTTATGATCACTTCGGTGATCTTGTACTGCTTTCTGGTTACGACCCACGCATGTTTTTTGACCTCTTCTTTGTCGCCCTCGAATAAAGCTTGGTGTACTTTTAATCCGCAAGCGTCTGAATCCTGTTGCATCGTCACAAAGAGATACAGACAAACTGCATGCTAAATAAAAACAACCCAGCTTACATCGTGACTGGAGTCGTTCCAGGAGAGAAATGGCTGCCAATACAAAGAGAGAACAGAGACATTGAACAGGGAGTTAACATTCCCAGTCACTACTGGACTGCTTTCACTTGTGTTAAAGACAACAGACGAATTTATCGAACCTACATCGCTCAGCAAATATACCCCCTAAAGAATGGCTACTCCAAATTTATAAAACACAACATGACTGTTGATGAGCTGGATAAGAAGCTCACTGAGCTGTATAAGGAGTCTCTGCAGTATAACCAGCAGTTCAGCGTGTTCAAGAACACAAGATCTTAATCTCAAAGTCTTAATTTTCACTTTTAAAGTCTGTACTACCAACCCTTGTAAAAAGGAAGTATACTTAAGAGCACTAAATGTATGTTCAAATTGTGTAAAAAACACTGAAAGTACATTTTTCTTTTCATGTTCTTTATTAAAAAATACACATTAAATACTTAAGTACTTATCTGTATTTCTATAAAATATATTTTGAAGAAATACATTTAAAAGTATACTTTGTGTTTGAGAATACATGCAGAATACAAACTAAAACACGTTTCAACAATACTACATTTAATTGTCATGTCAACTAAAGTGTATTATTTAAAAAGTATATTTTAAAGAAAGTAATTTTAAAGTATGTTTTAATACAACTTTAGAAGTACACTTCCATTTATATATTTTTCACATACAAAAGTATATCTAATTTTCATGTCATCTTAAATGTATTATTTAAAAAGTATGCTTTAGTACAACTTAGGAAGTGCACTTGAGTGAATAGATTTTACTCGCATTACACTGAAGCACACTTTAAAACAAAGTCAAGTCCACTCAGGTGTTCTGAGTTGGGAGTTATAGAGCTGCTATTCTGAAGTTGAGAGAAGAGCTCTTTGATGGTATTATTTGCATTCTTTGTGCACTCCTCCCCCCTTTTAGGTAGACTCCTCCACCTAAGGAATCTCTTTACTATCTGGACAGGTACATGTGTTGTTCCACTGAAGTACTTTACAAGAGCGCCATTAAATGACTCAAAAGAAAACGTCAAAGTCGCCCACAAAGGACCCCAGTTCCTAATGCTGGCTGAGATGTGTGTCAGCAAGTGTACATTAAATGACACATTTTCAATGCCATACAGTCCCTCAAACTGGATGACAAACTTCTTAAATGCTGCATTAACACTGCATTATTTCACCTTTTCTTGGAGAAGCATGTGCATGGCAAAAACTAAGAGAAAAAAGAGAAAGAGATGATTCCAGTACTTCTTTATTAGAACACATTCAGAACGGCAATGAATAGAAAAGGATAAATGACCTCCACTCTGATGCTTTTGTTAAATATTATTTTATTTTATCTGCTTTCATTAACTTTTAACTCATTAACTCCGTTTTTCCCTTGTCTTTTTGTATTAATCTCATTTGCATTTTGGATGTCCCTCTTGGGTGATGTGTGGGGGCTGCAGAGAGCAGTGCTTTGTCATTTAACAACCTCCAATGGTTAGCCTATCTCACATCTGGTTATCTATAGCTCCCCAATCTAGCAATGTCATTTGTTGAAGGGATATCTCAGGGACATCCTGGTTCCTAGGGTGGGCCTCAACACCTCTATTTTAATTACACAGGTAGAGGCAGTTGTCCATCCCGTGGGGGGTTCTGGGGTTGTTGAGACAAAGAGACAACTATGGGTGTGGTTTACATTTCGTGACTATAAGTTCATCAGTGTGCAAGCCTAGTTAGACTCGCTGGTTGGGAAGACGCACATTAATTTAAACTTTTTTACTCGAGCCTCCGCTCCTGTTTTTCTTCAAGAAACCAAAAAATTGCCAGCAGAAGTCAACACTTTCCACGATCTTGTGATGATCGTGGTGTTCTAGTTAACTGGATAGGCTGGATTGCAAGCAATTCTTGATCAACAATGTCTGTTTTCGTGCCTATACACCACTCTTTGCCGTGATTAGTTGAACCCAGCCACATGTTTGCCAACTCTCAAGTCCAAAACAAAACAAACACTATGCTGGTATTCTGGAAAGAAGCTGTTAATCGTCTGAAACTTATCCAACCTCATCAATACTGATGGACCTTTCACCCCCATGACTGGCTGTTGTGGAGTTGCTGACATGGTCGTAATGCTCTGCCTCAGGTCTGAGAAGAGGTTCTGGTCTTCTGAAAGGATAAGGACCTCCACCTGTGTGATAGCAAAAATCACACACCCCAATGAGTTGTTTGGTATTCCTGAGTAGTGGGCAAGCAACAGAGTCTGAACTACACGTAAGTGCAAACACCTTGGACCTCGGCTCTCTGTTCTGTGTATCTTTCCATGTGATGTCGTTCCTGTTCTAGAGATAAAAGCTCATTCACAAAGGGAGTCAGGAGTGTGTGCATGTTTGCACACAGATGGTTGTAGTTCAATGATCTGACACTGAATTGGCCACACTTTGGTATTTTGAGCTCTTAAAACATGCAGTACTTTTCTACCAATAAATATCAGTTATTTAGTCTATTTCGTGTTCAAAGATGAACGTAACATATTGTACAATATTGACTTTTTTTGTAAGGTAGCCAAGAAGTACCACTAGCATATTGAACAATGCAAAAGGTAAAATAAACTGTACATCATGTTCTGCATGTTTCATAACACTTCAGTTTCATTTCACTGCTCTTAACACACCCACTTCTAGTCATTGTTAATGAACTGGGCCCAGTTTCCCAAAAGCATCTTAAGGTAAGGTCATCTTAACTGGTAGAGAGTGTCCAGGGTGATGGTCACTCTACCATTTAAGAACCATCATTGTGCTAAGATGCTGTACCTCTCGGTCAGCAGTGAGAATCCACAATGGCATCTTATCCCAGATCCTTACATCCAGTGTTAGAGACAGACACTGCATCTGTCCCTACATACAGGTAGGAGTCAGTGTGAAACTGGGGTTGTATTACAGTCTTTAGACCTAAATTAAGAGCTGAAGTTCAATATAAAATTTCCATGCAATGCATATTTTAGAAGTAAAGATTTTAAAATTTAGGAATTATATTATCTTACATAAATGTTAAGTAAGTTTGCTACTCAAAAACCAAATGTCATTATTTTTGCAACGCTTTCTGCTACAGTAGTGATGGCGCCCTTGAATCTGAAGCTGCTGCTGCCCTCTGCTGGCAACGGGTGGGACCGAGCACCTCCTTGCATTGGTACAACCAATCAACCAGTCATCTTGGAGCCAGATGATGATGCACAGTCATACCACAGACTAGACCCTTTTGTTTTACAGTCTGAGGACCTTATGAGCCTGCACCCTCAGACCTTTACAGGCCTGACTTAAAATAGACAAAGCACACAGGTCAATGGTACTATGAATGAAGCAAAGCCATGAATATGTACCTTAATGGCTGAGATTACAACAGAAAACCGAGGGATGCAGGTCTGTGAAGAGAATAAGTCTCCATTACAGCAAATAAATAAATGGTGTCATCAATTTTAATTTCAGTAGAATTCTATAAATATATATATATATATATATATATATAGGTCTGATCTTGATCACCTTAAATCCTACTACTACACAATAAAATTATATAAATACAAAAAGTAATGAATAAATACAACACAACCTTCTCAATGCCCTCATAGACGTACAAGTTTAATAGTTATGTAAACAGCATGTGGTGAAATATCTGTATTACTGAACTACTTTGAGATTATTACAGTAAAAATAGTAGCTACAGATATTTCTTTCAATAAATTAAAAATGTATCACTCATATGTATGCCTTTGTCATATGTTAAACATACCTACCCCCATTTTTTTCAGCTCCAATCCTGAAGGACTCTCTTTTTGCAATGCTTCATGTTTTTCTTTGCTTTTTAACTCGATGCATTAGTTGAGTTACAGCAGATGCCCACCAGGACTGGATCTGAGAAACTGCATGCTGTAATATAAAAAGGACACAAAAAAGATTTAGCAAAGGGACGTGCTAAAAATAAACACTTACCGCACTCCTACACTGAGAAGAAAAACAGATCCTGTTTTATAGCCTGAATCTGGAAATTCTGTGATAAAGTCTGTGATCAGTTGTGCAGTGGATCTTCAGATTGTGCCGTAAGTGCATCAGATTGAAAGTCCATATTCTGCCATCCTGCTATGGACTTCATGCACTTACACCTAACATCTGTGAAATCTGTGGAATCATGAATTTGTACTCTAAGATAAGCTCTAATTGCTCCTAGGTTATGTTAATTTTAGAGCAACCTCTGCTGTCACTGCAGGCAGCACCTGCCTCAAATCCCTCACAGTAACTGTTGGGTTGAGTATCCAACGGCTGCAGTGCTCTAGCTAAGTTCTCCAAAACTGTATCTGCTCCATGTGGTAGTTTGAAAGCATCTGACTAAACTGTTAAGCATCTGCTCAATTCTAAATTAAATAAAATCAGTCACATTGTTGAAAATGTGGATTCTGGAGACGACAGAACATCTGCAGAACTTTCCAAGAAATCTTGTGGAGCACTTGAGAATCTGTAACAGTGCAGAAGAGACTAATAAACTGTATAAAAATTCACAATTTACAATTAACATCTACCTCCAATTTGATGTGATAAGTAATTTCCCCAAATTGACTGGCATCATACACAACATATGCAAGTGAAACCCAATTTCCACACTGGAAAACATTCCAAATGATGAATTCTTAGATAATTTGAATGAGGTCAATATCAGTAGTGTCTAGTTTCTCCAAAAGTTGAACCATTTCTTTATAGACAGCATAAGTGTTTAATATGGCTCTGTGTTCAATATACTCTACTGATATATATGAGGGCTACAACTATCAAATACATTGTATCAGATACATTGTCAAATATTCTGTGGACTATTAATGTGAACAATATTTACTGAGAATCAGAAAATGATTTGTACTGTTATTGTTGTTTATTGTTAAATAGATTTATTTATGATCACTGGAATCTATTGATTTGTTTTCTTTATATTTATTCTTTTTTAATAAAACAAGGTAATGGAAAAACATCACTGTTATAGTAAGTAGCACAAAATGCAGTCACTTCATCTGTTTAGCCACACTGTCATAAAAACGAGTGACCATGTTTTATTTATATTTATATATTCCTCAAGTTTTTAAGCTGCTCAAATACACATTAGTATATGCTAAACTCATGTGTCTGTCTAACAATAATAATACTTAATAACTAAATAATGGTGGAAGTTTAATCTTTTTATACTATTAATAGTAAACTTTTACTACTATTATTATTGTTATTATTATTATTAACAACACTTATTTTCTTTCCTTTGTTCTTGCTTGTTTCTTTTCTACTTGTCAATTAAAAATGTAAATATTTCATACTTCAAACTATTAATCTATGAAGGTTTTGCTTTAAACCTTTACCTGCAGTTATTTTTTTTTGTTTATGTATTTCTTCAGTAAATGCATATTTAGTTGCAAAATGTAATTTAA